CACATCGTTCCAAATGGAGCTCTTTCCGCCATTCTGGAGAAGCTATTACCACGGGGTCTAAACAAATGGGTTTAGCTCGCCTCGTACTCACAATAGAACAATTTACTCACCTGGAATAATGTAGTTACATGGATCCACTGTTCCACAACCGAAGACTGACAATTCTGGCGTGATTACCTTCAATGCCTCAAACATTCCGATTCTCCAATCACCTGGAGCTTTTCTGATGTCATTTCACGGACAGCATTGCGCGCTTATAAGCGGCTTTTCCGAGGATCTTTCATGGAGTTCTCACTTGGCCATGAAGACAATTACACTTACATTTGAAGGAATTATTAGTCCACTTTGCGGAGAATTGCATCTTTCATGTTATGGACATATTCAGACACAAGAAACAACTGCACTCACCGTCCTTATGACAAGTCCAGCATGGATAGCTGGACACGGGTTGCGCGCCGGACAATATAATAGAAAAATCCGGCCTCTATTAACAATGTGGTTACTCACCCGCATCATTATCATTCGACTGTGACTCTTTTACATCATTGACTGGCTTCAACGACAATTGCCGGTTCAATACTAAGCCATTTGGCAAACCAAGGAAGAATTTTGGCTGTCAACCGACTGCGAATAATAGAGTGCAAAATTCGGTCTATACGGTGCATAGTCGACTAGCACTACAGTTCAACGGAATCTACGACAGTGTTCCAGGACGTGGTGGGTTTTCGCCTGGCAAGCGTTCTCCCTATAAAAAGCCACAAATGTCCGCTTAACAACACTGCAACGTGGCGGATGTGACTCGCCACAAAATAAAGTCATAGCTATGCCTTTCACACTGACGCAGTCCTCAGCCTCCTACATCCAACCTGTGCAACTGATTTTACTATGAAGAATGCTTTAGTGGAGTACCGATCATCCCGGCTTCGTAATGGTCATTGGTTGCACTAAACCTTGTTTGGGCTCCTGTGCTCATGGAGCACTACATGGCAAATTTACCCCCCACTTTTATCTTGACGCAACAGTTTTTGCGCGCCACAGCGCCATCAAGGTCCTTGATCTGACTATTACCTGACAATATGCTCGCTCATATGAACTACATCTTTTCGTTTATTCCTTTCATTGTACCGAAATGTTTTAATATTCTAAAGATGCTATGCATGTATGCATATTTGATCATGCCTTTTAGAGGTGTGTCCCGTTTTACAGAGAATATACCATTTATTTATTTATTTATTTATTTATTTATTTGTGCTCTCATCTTCAATCTCACGGGTGCTGATACAACTTCCAAGGTTGTAGAACGTTTTAAACGACTGTTAGTTGAGCCCCACCAAGGTCAACGTAGAAGAAGGTCTAGGCCAACCTTGAAGGAACGCTTTGAACTGATGGGCGCAAAGCGAAGACCGAAGTGATGAACAGCTCGTGCAAATCTGTCTAGTGCCGCTTGGCACGTTGGTGTGCTGGTCACAGATTAGGGCACCATCATCATCATATTCCAAGTCAGGTAGACGTTCTCCTGGGAGCAGCTCCACACATTCCAAGGTGTCCGTGAAGGCGATTTCCATTAATTCGACAGTAGCGAAGTTGAAGCGAAAGGGTGACAGCGGGCAATCTTGTCTCATAGCTGGAGATATTAAAGGGTAAAAACAGCCTGCCGTAAGCCTTCGCGGTGCCTGGGATACGCGGAAGAAATGGGAAGCAATGACAGTGAATCGCGGCCAATAGCGTCGGCAAGAGGCACCAGAAAGGATTATTGCATCCGAAAAAACACCGGGCACAGAAACAACCGGCGCAGATGTAGCCTACCTCCTCGACGTCAAGCACGGAGTGCTGTAGCATATGAGGTCGTGAGTGTCTCAGGCAAGCGGGTCTGGCAAGCCATCAACATGGCCACGAAGGGATAGTATCGCAGATGTAACGAGTGAGCTGCATGTCAGCGTTTGATAGGTACGTTGCCTTCCATAACGCAGTCGATACGACACGTGTGCTACGTCATCGATGCAGTTGTCGAGCACACACGCACGTGTGTTTTCTTTCTTTAATTTCAGGCGTTTATTGATTGATATCCCATGTGCGACTGCACGTGAGGTGAATGTTGGCAAGGTGCCTATATACCGAAAAACGACTACCTCGATTATGCTGCTAGAGACAATTGCTCGTTGCTCGATGAGTCTGGATGCACGGCCGTCGTGACGGTGTGGAAGGGGCTAGGGCCCGCTTGACTGCCAAATTAAATAAACAGGAATGCTGCTGCTGTGTATGTCGAAGGGGTGTGGGCCAGTTCCGTTGATGAAACGTAGCTCCCGTCTACATGTCTCCCGGGTAGATACTGGATATGAGATGTGTGCATAGAGCTGTGGGTGGTGCAGCGCAAGCCACCCATGATCCCTCTACAGATGTAGGCGTCCTCTGATAATAATAATAATAATAATAATAATAATAATAATAATAATAATAATGCGTATATTTCTCGATTTTGTGAGGTGCTGTTTATGAATTAGGGACAGATCATTAGTGACCATGCTCAGTCATGAGTGAGCGTATTTGTCAACCAATCATTCGGAAATAGGTGGCTTCTGTTGACGCTGTGTTTTGTGTAACACCTATCCTCACTGGTTATATATTTTATCCATCATTATTAGCTAGTTGATCCGAGAAATTTCCAAATTTAATGCGGTATGTTCTTGCATTTGTACAGGACCTGATAATGGCTAGTAGACCATTCCACACGACATCGTATCTGACGAGGAAAAAGTTGGACCATATAGCTGTTCTGGTTCTCGGCCCAATTAGTTCACAATTCTTGTGGCGAAGTATCCCAGAGAAGTTATTGCAGTTCTAACGTGCAGAGATTGGAGTATTTTGGTTTATGAGATTGCGAATGAGCATCAGGTTGTGTTTCAGTTGTCGCAACCAAAGAGGCTCAACAGTAAGCTATTGACAACGCTTCTGATAGCTCACAGTTGACGAACTATTGAACAAGCGTTTAGCGAAAGATCATTGCAGATTTTCCAGGGTTTTGCTGTCACTCATACGCATGTTCCCATAAATGATGCTGCGGTATTCAAGGACAGCGACTGTATGGATTTTATGGCATACGTTGGCCGCAGATTAATCCGCGTGTGTATTTGACACTCAGCCTGCTCGGAGAAATTGGAGTTTGAAGATTATCGTATGCCTAATGTTAGGGGTATATACCTTACACTCAGCGTCCAAGCCAAGAGTAGTGGCGCAAGAGTGAATCGATCTACAAATGGAGATCGTACTCGAGTAGAGATCAAAACGCGAAGCGATGTGGGATCAGCGGCAAGTTGGACTATGAATTTGAACCGTTTGAGTTGTGTTAATTGATGGTAATTAGCATCTCCAAGATTGTTGTCAGTAGTTGCCTACAACCTATATATTGCGTTATACTCTCATACAATACGAATCTCTCAATCAAGCTGATCTTGGCGTTCTCATTTCGTTGCGGATTGAGCTGGTAGGGGGCGGCACAACTGATTTCAAGCAGATTAGCTGTACATTCAGCGGCAACCACAACAGATTTCTAGCGACGGTCAGCTTCACGGTAGCGTTCTCCTCCGTTGCAATCCACTTCATTTGTGAATGTGTGATACAGACGGTGGATTCGTGCAACCGTAATATTAATGAAAAGTCTTTGGTGCTTCTAAATTTCCTGATTAGTGTTCACGTTTTCAGATCACTCCAAATAGCACTTCCATTTTTAGAACCAGGAATAAGATGTTTGTCATGCTGCGCAAGTATAGTTATGATCTGATGGATCTGGTAGTAGAACTGTTCCACTGCAATGGGGGCACCAGTGCAGATAAAAAGTCATCCCAATTGGAGGACCGGAGTAACTTTTGGGAAGGCTCCCAGTCAATCATTTAGATCAGTGGTTCTCTGGGTGCTGTGCACAAAACGATCTGCCGATTCTTCGCTGGGAAATTCAAGAATGACTGGACAACAGCGCCTCCGCGTTCGCTTTTTCAAAAGCAGATATTTACAGACGACTTCAGGCATCTTATAAATGCTAAGTACTATTGCTTTTACTTTGTTCAAACTGAATCCGATTGGTATGTTAAAAAAACCACATTTTTTTCTTCTGCGGTTTCTTTCATGTACGCCTTACCCAGATGAACAGGATCGAAATTAGCGATAGGTTGCTGATGTAATCCAGTGGGACTAAGTGATCCTTAAAGGGTTCAAGAAAAGCCAGAACTGTCTACGTTTCGTCGATCTCTAACTGCAAGGAGCAGAGTTTGGTGTTAAGTTCGGAAGTGAGCTGAGAGCCCGAAATTCTAATCGCTTGGGCACACTGTCCTTATACAGTCGAGTGCGTCTGAACTTTGGTGGGATGTGTAAGGTGAAAGGTGATAAAAGCAACGTGCTCTGACTTGACACCAACGCACTGCACGCTGATTTCAGTTCATACCATTGTCGAGACGCCACACGGTCAGGTGACTTTCGGTGTGAGTCGTAATCCAGTTGACTGCCCAGAGGGTTGATCGCGGCAGGGCGACGCAGTTGACAAACGCAGGATATATCGATTGTTGCCGACCGAGAAAATTGGTCGGCCGATGCGGCCGGCTAGTTTACGCGAGGGTTGACGCCGTAGACTAAAAACGCATGGCTAGCGGTTGCAAAAATGGCTGTAACTAGCGAACAGAATGTCAAAAAGGTGTAAGAAAGGAATTGATGGAAAGAGCTAAAAGTGCCCGCTCGAATAAGGGTGACTGTTCCAAGATGTACTCGGAAAGTAGGTTGGTTTTGTGCCTGACTTTTTGGAAAATCTCTTCCGAAATCGGTAAAACGATATAGGTGAGGAGGCGATGGAATAATTCCTAAGCTGGGATAGAGCTGGTAATTTCTGGTCAAGTGTGTGGAACTAAGTTGGTGTTGCGTGGCCGCGGTGGCAGACAAATCCGGAACCGGATGCCGCGAGACATACACATATATATATATATATATTATATATATATATATATCAATAAAGTTAATCAAAAACTCACCAAGAGACCGAGGCACTTTGTGTAGACATGATTTTTATCCCCTTCGTCCTGGTCTGCGAAACGCTGAAAAGAAAGATGCAATCTACAGGAGGATCTGTTGAGGATCAACTACCTGGTAGGGTCACATAGGAAGCGTATTTTGAAAACAATATCCGGCGCAAAATAGCACAAGTGGTTTGAGGACATCACAGATGATGTTGGGTATGGAGTTAAGGATCACATGATGCTATTTAACAGTAGAGGAATGTGGTCATAAAAGCAGTGAACCGTTGCATGCAGAAAAATGCACTGATACGCCACGTAGTAGTTCGTGCGGGGACGACGGGGTTAAAGGAACGAAAGAGAAAAGCACACTAAACAGCAAGAACTGAGGTTTGTAACTCAAAATGGGAGCTGAAAAAAGCCCCCGGGGAATATAAAATAAGCTTTATCGTTTAATCAAATTATCCACTGGGTTACACTTGGAATCTCGTTCTATATGAATGAAAATTGCGATAAAAGCTGAGAGAATTGTACATATATCGACGAGTAGGCGGCATCGAAGCCCCAGATGGCTCAGGAAGAATTTGTGCATTGCAACGAACGGGCTAATTGAGCAGTTGACGTGCGCAGGGGAAAAGATTCGTCACATGAGAGTGACGGTGGTTGAGTGAAATCATTCTGGCACACGTGTCAAAATCTATGGAGAGGTTTAGAGAACAAACGGAGTAGTTATGAAGAGCCATGGAAAGTCAGCAAAAAGTTCATGTTACAATGGACGAGTGTTAGTTCTAGCTAAAAGTTTAATCCATCCAATCTGTTTGGATGCGGTACGAATACAAATTATTGGCGACTGATGTGGAACACAATCCAGGATGAGACCAACAGCTATACAGTGTCGAGTCGGAGGGAGCCGCAAGCATGACCAAAGCTGCAAAGCTCAATAAAGGGGGGTAAACCATACACTGCAGTAGGTCGAAGCGGCTCATGAGTGTTCAAATGCGTACTGCATATCGAACATCACAAGGCTTGCAGGTCAGACACTAAAAATACAGAGGGAGTGCTGTAAAGTGCACGCACTGGTATTGCAGTACGCACATATCACGTAGCCTGCTTGACCTCAGCAGTAACAGCAGTGCACCGGCACATCGCGCCGACGCTTCGCTGCCACGTGACCACCACCGGTCACGTGCAAGGCGCATATGCAGCGAGGTCGCCCACCCCAGAGCGGATTTGAGCCGGCGACCGGATTACAACGCAGGCGCGTAATCCTTACGGCCACCTGCCGACAACCTGGTTAGATAGAATGGTCGTCGGAATTCACAAGAGCGGTGACGCTGGGAATCGTACGAAAAACTCCATAACAAGCTCAGGTTCAGGTATGGAAAATATAAAACGGTTTCACGATCCAAACAGAGCTTTAAATGGAACAAAAGATCGTAAGCCAGATTCCTTTTAGTGATATCATCACACAACGGCTATCGTGCTGTACGGTTTGCAGGGACCCTTTTGGTGACATATGAGCGGCGGCTGAGGGGAGGAAGCAACCGACGGAAAGAAATCCGTGGCCGGATCAAAATATGAATAAGTCAGTCCTCAGAGAAAATGCGCGTTACCACTAGAAGTATGGTAAACAAAAGGCCGCGAGTTGCACAAAAGTATGGTAGACAGTAGTTCGACCCTACTGTACGGTTGTGAAACCTGGCCGCTTAAAGCAGCGGACCTGAAGAGGCTAGTTACGTTCGACCACCGGTGCCTTCGTAATTTAGCTCACATCTGGTGGGAATACCGCATGAGCAACGAGCGTGTTCGACGTCTTGTTTATGGCACAGGGAAAGGAACTGAACCGCTCAGCACCGTTATTTCACGCACCAGGCTCCGATGGCTCGGCCGCGTGTTACGCATGCCAGCCCACCGACTCCCGCGACGTGCGTTGTTTTCGCGCCGGGGGTGTGGATGGAAGAAGAGGAGGGGTGGCAAAGCGATGACTTGGTCCAGAGGAATGAAGGCCCTCACTTCTGAGCTGGCCTCGGTTGGAACGTCTCGGCTCCCTGGTTGAGGTCCGAAAGACGATGAACACGTTTGGTTGGACACACTTGCTGATATGGCTAGGAGCCGACCTCAGTGGCGTTCGTGCTGTGAGTTTCTTTGTCCCACCCCATCCCTCTTAGCCTCCCCCTCTAACCACGATCTCATTATTTAACCTTATATAATTTTGCATAGTAATTTTTTTGATGTACAGTAGCCGGCTGGTAGCTTACCGGAACGATGCCCATCCGTTACCGGTAGCTCAGCCGGCTTGCACCAGTTGCATTTTTTTTCTTTTTTATGTATTGCGGCACAGTAGCTGAGGTGTTCTCCACCTCTAGCTAATGTGTATGATGATGATGATGAGACAGCAGTCAATGAAGACAATGTTAAAAAGCTGTACAACCGACTCCATTTAGTCAGCAAACTATGAACAGGTAACAGACGGGCGAGATCACTTCAAATTTCACGTGAAGGACAAAATCGAGTGCTGATGAGAAGCCAAGAGCCAAGGTAAAACACACGGAAATGCTCTGAAAGCAGCGAAAGCCTTCAAACGGAGGAATGAACACAGTTGCGTGAATAATCCCTCAACGACAGGCAGCAATTAGCGTCAACCATATTGTCACCATCGCGGTTACACCAGATAAAAGTATCAAGCAGCTTATAAACCATTTACGAGTTGTCGTAGCAAAGTCACACACGCGAGTTGTTCAGTTTAGGAGGGGGCGCTGAGGTAAAGGAAGCAAGCAGCCAGTGGCTGTTCAGCGCAGTGGTGATGGCTGTGGCTGTTGACAAAGAATCTAAGGATAAGATACCAAAGTACTCAGGAAACAGTATTACCGAACAACGTGAAATTTTGTATGCGCGCATCAGAGGATGGATGGTCCCCCCAATGCATGGTGGACATGTGCGGAGTACATTGCAGTAAAATTACTGAATGCAACACACAGTTGTAAACAATGTCTTAGAGAGACGAGGGCTAAAGCCTCTGAAGGCAGGCATGTCCAAAAGAAGTGAAGTGTTGACATAGTTGAGAAACTGATGGGGAAATTTTAATCTTCCAAGAACGACGAAAAGCACGGTAGGTAGACATGATGGGAATCTAAACTGGGTTCGTGAAGATCATGGTGACGAGCTGACTCAAGCGAACACAGCCAGCAGATTTAGCAACAATTGTAAAATTTAAGGGCAATGATTGCGAGTGATGTTAAATGTGTGCCACAGGCCTCGGGTCAGACACCAGTAGATGTACGGTGGAAACACGAAAACTTATGAAACGAACAAAGATCAAAAAGGGTCAACCCATGGTGCATTTGGTTAGCTTTGTTGGGGATGAGCTTCGGAGTACTTATCGTCTCATTCCGAAAGATGACCTACAAGTCAAAAACACCAATCAGAAATGTCTACCGAAATAATTCGCTGTCTGTGTTGTATTAGCTGTTAGTTGGTGGTCGCATTTAAGTGAACATTGCACATTCACAAGTGGGATTATAGTGATACGGACTGCGACCGACAGACTGAGCAAATGCAGCAACCCGCATTGTCGAGTAGACTTGAGAGGTCAGTCGGAAAAACAGCAGACGACGATGCTAGACACTAATAAGATCCATACGATGCAATGGGTCTGTCGTGGCAACAGAGGTAACGGATAAAAACGGTGCAAACGAAACAGAATCATGTCAACAATATATGTTCCCAAAGTACTACCAAATGTAGCAACAAAGTTCTGCACTATTCCTCGATAACGTTGAAGCAAATCACCGAATTTCGGTTCAACAATGTCATTCAAAAGTGGTAACCGTTGGACTGTTGCAAATTGAAAACAATTGGCATATCCCGTGTGACGGAGATGAAACAGTGGGTCAGCCGATCACGAATAAAGGTTGAAAACTAGGGAGAACGCGGCCGGTCCGCAGCGTTGCCATTGTTTACAAATGTGCCTAAATTCTCCTAGGTTCCAAGGGTCACATCGATGAGTATCAGAGGCGTTTAAGGATAGTAAGAAGTCTGAATTCACTAGTACCCCCAGCAAACCGTTTGTCCGACCAATGGTGGAGTGGTTCGTCAAGTCAGCTTGTAAAACCGTGTCATCAAGTACGACGGCACAGCTGGCTTCGTCGTATGTCGAGTGTGCTTGCAAGCGCGGATGGTTGCGAAGCAAGGAGACGTTGACACACCGCACTTCTGAGGCATTTTCAAGTCGTTCATGAGCGTTGTACATCAAAACAAAATTATAGTGGCCTCGGTGATTCGAACCATTGGTGCAGTAAAGTTGTTCATATTCTGAAGGACAGTTGTATGCATTCGAGCATCAGAGCTCTTATAAAAATCCCTCCCTTATTCCAATTTGGATTGTAAACTGGTGAAACGCTACCGCGCGTATCCTATCTTTCAGAATATGCGACCATTTATTGCAAAGATGTATTTATCCCCAAATCTGAGGTTGGATGTACGCTTACCCATCGGTTGACCGGCGATGTGCAAACCCGGTCAATAACCGTCCATTTGCATCTCGGGCGGTTCGTGTGGATTTCCTGTGCACTGACTGTTTGAGTGCTAATCCGGTGCAATTCGTTGTCGATCAATGAACGCAAACAACTGAGGTCGGTTTTGTATGTCATTAATGTCTTGTAAATAGTACCGCAGATCTGAATCTAATCAATAGGGATCATCTATGTGCGTGACTTAACGACTGTGTTTGGTGGCTACAACATCCTCATTCAGCGCCTTTGACGCATTTATAAAAGATAGTGCAACACAGATCGCTTTCTGTTCCGAAATTGCTGTAGTGCAACTCCGGAGACCACACTAGAACTATAAGGTACTCGTGTGTAAGGATAACCCAGTTTCTCCATTTCTCATAAACATTGCCGTTGAAAAGCTAATGACTAGTGGATGGTCAATTCTTTTGAAGTAGAACTCCAGCCAAATAACGGACTGATCTACTCAGAGCACAATGAATGTATCATTCATTTCTAATAGCGCTCAAACCACGTATGAGCGTTGCACGTTTGGGCATGTGAGCCGAACTTTTCAAACACAAAGTGCTAGACCGACGGAACAGTAAATGCTTCAGTTACAGATATTCGTCTTCATCGTCCTACCCGTTAGCTACTGTGCCGAAACCTAACTGGTCGATGCGTTAATTCGTCTATGGAGATGGTGGTCGGAGAACCGAGACGACTTCAGAAAGCAATCGTAAAGTTAAATAAAGGGGATGCTGTGATTCCCTCAGCGCTGCCGCAAGGATCAAACACAACCAATGAATTTTGCCGATATCGAAAAGTTGGTCGCCTTTGACTGTGAAGGACTGATCACCGAAAGAGTTACCGTTGAAGTATGTCAGTTGGTTTGATAGTCGACCCGATGGTGGTGCCGCCATGAAATGCCTGTTGAACTCTAGTCGATCACGTCGGTCCGATGAGGTCCTTCAAATGCTTATCGATCGTTCGCCGCAGAGCATATTTGTACGCAAATACCACGTCCTAGCAGATAAAATCCGCCGGTGGCCCGTAAATGATTCAAAAAGCAATTGGAAGAAAGCGACTGAAAGGCAAAGCGAACCGGGTGAGGTGGAGTTGGTTCGACAGATTTTTCAGATTACTGGGTTGAAACACTAACTGGATGCGGCGATGCAGTGAAGCAAAAACTGGCGGTCCAGAAGAAGTGAAATTCAAATGTATCACCAAACAAGTAGTGATCAAATCGCTGAAAAACAGGGTGACAATAGGTGCGCGTTGATGCATGGTGCAAATTTTCAGTAACGCACAATTTGGGTCATGACCACTTTAAAAGAGGACTAGCGAAAGTAAAAGCAATGCGAAGTCTTCTAACGAACCTGACAACCTACAGGTCAGTTTGGCAAATACCAAAGAACATAAACCGAAGAACTACCTATATTGTGGAATATAATAGGAAAGTTATTTAATTCTGAATCAACTGTTCGTGCTCTAGGGAAATAAAGCAGGCGTCGAGTAACTCAAGCGCTACGGCAGAGAGGAAAGAGGAATGATCTAGATTCGCCAATCAGTCACCTCGAACTGAAGCAACCAAGTCAGTTAGATAATGTGAATAAAGCTAAAATCAACAGGTATCACAGTTATCAAAATGAAACCGGGGAAAGATACAAGTGATTCCTAAGAAAATAGGGGGAGCTCGTATGTTGGAAGATTAAGCGCTATACGACCAAGTGATTAGTTGAGTGGTTGCGTTATTTATATCAACAATGACTGAACATCTATAACCAAAGGAGATAATGAAGAGTGAAACAGCGGCGTTTATCAAGGCAAAAAGCAAGCAGCAGAGCACCAGTCGAACTCTTTCAGATGATAGCGAACCTCAGGTAAGGCGTAGATAGGTAGTTTAGGATCAGTGTAAACAGGACTCAGAGATAAGTAACGCCTCAGAGTGTGCTCGCATTGAAAGTCAGACAACGGTCAACAAATGATAGTCTAATGGTGTTTTCTCTTCGCGTCTTACAGCGTCCGAGGGTGGGAAGGTCGACAATCAACGATCCGCCAGGTTCGACAACAGTGAAGAAAAGAAAAAAGTAAAGATCTGTTTAGCCGGGAAAATCAGCTGCGCAGTGGGTCCCTTGAACGGACCTTCGAGAACAGAACGAGCGCTGAACAGTGAAAAATTACGATCTGCTATTCACTGTCCAGGTAACGAAAGGAAGATTCACTGTTGATTTGTTAGCGGTTTTCCTTCATCCGATGCTGTTTTGTGAACCGAATCATACTGACCTGCTGCCATTCGATCACTATGGCAACGCAGACCAATCATTTTTCAAGCTGTCAGCCACAGGAGTGATGTGTTGATTTACATCCGGACTCGAGATTCGCCTCTATATGATTAGAGATTGACTGCCCGAATAGTGACTGCAATCATCAAATACAGATAGGATTCGAGGGTAGCGCCTAAAGATAGGCCAGTTAAACTGTTCAAATGCCTGATCCTGCCTTCAGGCATACGAACGTGACGATGAGTCAACCGTCAATGATTGGACACGGAGAACTCATATGCTGTACACACTGTGACAGCACAAACAGGTGTTTTTGATCATTGAGACCGAGCCTGGTAGATACCGAATTCAGCCAGGAGAATAAATAATTGTCAGCTGTATGTCGTAACGGCACTTCGCTGCCACGCGACCAGGACCAGTCGTGCGAAGGCTGAGTATACCGCCAGGACGCCCACCCCTATGCGGATTCGAACCGGTGAGGTTATGGTTGCAAACCAGGCGCGCAGACAACTTGGCCACCGGCCGATAATCAGGAGAATGCTTAGAACACTATTTCACAAAGCTGGAATGAAGTGTCAACCAGAATTATGCTCCGTAGAAAGTCACCGAAAGTATTGCTCAAAGGCAAATAACTATTCATCAAACTCTCTGAGGGTAAGGCAAAAACGATGAAAATCAGGCATCCATGATCATGAAAAGATGAATTTACGGCGTGACTGTTTGGCCAATTACTCTCTACGATTTTGACGCGGTTTAAATGGTTTGCGTGGTGTTCATGGGGCGACAGTTTTCGACTACTGTCATGTCATGTCGATGATAAGAGTAGTTAGCGAAATCTTGGAAAGCATGATAAGGTGAACGCTAGCAGATGTGTGCGTTTCACACCACGACATCAGTTTCGCCAAAATGATGGGGACTTTTTAATGTATATGGTAGAGTTGTGATTAATAGTGATAAGCGAGGGCTGATAGGTGCACATCGTCGTGCCATAACAGCCAGTTGCCATTACGCATGTGACTCACCTACGCGCACACGTGGCACGTGTTAAGGTGGTGACAGTAAGGAAACAAAGTGTGCATGCATCACAGTTCGTCCTCTCGTAGACAGTTAAGAAAGTTTCAGGTGCTGCTGGAATTGACTTTTCAGTTTCACAGGAACTGTTGACTTGAGCATAAGTAGACTGCAAGTCTGCTCGCTGAATTCTCTCTAGCGTGATCCACTGATGTATGCTTAGGTGAACTGCAGGCGACGATTAACTGGACAATGATTTCCCGACGTGTTGTGTTTACAGATGTCGACCTCGAAGTTAGTTGAAACTATGAGGTCCCGGCTTGCTGCAGTCGATACGAAGCACACAGCAAGGCAACGGTGACATGTAGTAAGGCCAACGTTTCAAAAGATAAACACAAGCAACAGGAAAACGAGCAGGCGAATAAGGGAGCGAAGCCACTGATGAGAGAACCATAGGGAAAAAGGCAGGAAAATCAAGCAACATTGTCTGATGAATTCAAATGAGATGGGGACGCGAGCAAGCAGAATGTGCCACCCGGACCACGAGTTTGAGGCCGATGGAAGGATTACTACACATCTTACCGCATACGATCAAGGATTGATTTCAATAGCACACCTGCCACAGGACAGCTCTGATTCGAGCGCGTTCCTTCAAAATCATTCCCAGTTGCACATGCAGTGCGTCGGTAATTTCCATGTCATGATATAGAGTAAAAACATCGATACACTATGGTGGAACGGCGGATTACAACACTGTTTGGACGGTTGAAGTGAAGTGTTTCGTCTCAACCGTCTAATGCAACAGAGTGCCTACCCCCAACGGCAATACATGATGGACGTGGAGGTTGGACAGCATGCACAAAGAGCTGGCTCACCTTTAAAACCTTTTCGTAAATGCGGAGGCCACCTTCCTGAACGAAAGCAAGACATGCTTCCGGGCACTCGTCGGTCAAATTCCACAATGCAGACAGAGTGAAGCGTAGAGTGGTATCAAAAATGGGTGGCCCTTCCGGGCGAAGCTGCAATGACAGCAGGTAATGTGGCACCACAGCACCGAGATCACCGAGATCGGAATCCACAAGGCACTTTTCGGCAATGTACGTCAACAAACGTTGAATGCGGCGACGGTCCTTGGCAAGCTCAGAAAGACCAGCCGTAGAAATCTGCGCAACGAGGTAATGAGATGCACATGGGTGAAAACTAAATTTAAGATATTCGAGAATGGAAAAGAATCACTGTGGCATAAAGCTGATATGCCTCATTAAAGACTAAGAAAGGTAGCCCGCCAAGCTTAGACGAACAAGATAAATTGGATTACCAATGCTGATGAATAGGTACCTGCATTATGAAGCTAAAGAGCTTTTCGTCTATCTAGGAATGTTATCGAATCGCAGTTATCGAATTAGCAGTTTAGACCGGTTGTGTAAGGGGCAAAAATCCAGTGTTGACAAGGAAAGAAGTGAGAGCCAAAGCAAAATCACGGACGCGAGAAAAATCAGATGGCAATATTTCGATTAGCGCCCGTTTAGCGAAGTAAAACGGTACGCTGCAGAGATGCTTTACGTCCTTTGTGACCCACGTGACAAGTAGCGCGGGTGGATCGGTCAAGCAACTATCATCAAACTACGAGGAACAGAAAGATAGGTTAGAAACGACGCAACACAACAATGATAGCATTCCTATGATAAAGAGCAGTAATGATCGCCACAACAAAATATATGGGTGTTGGTGCAAGTTCGCAGAGGATGCGTTTAAGCCTAATTGACTTCGATTGGCCCATCGCAATGAGGCTGGACCTTACCGTGGTGCGATGGTTTGTGTGCCTCAGCGATCCATTGAGCTACGCTGGGTGGTGCTTTTGCACCTTCAGAGACACTCATATCAGATTGGTCAATGGTTAGAGGCCAGACAAACTCAGCCTCCTGGTCCTCCAGGTTGGGGGTTGGAATGAGGGTGGCACCTTATTCCTTAAAATGGACTCCTTGTAGCCCAACGCCAAACCCACTGCCTTGCGGTCAGGTTTTTGAACCCAAGGCTTTGGTTGAGAACCCTAATCGTTCTCCTGTCTAGGCCTGGGCAACCTGACAGTATCCTGCCCACGCAATACTATGAATTTTCCTTCAAACAATTTCTTGATGCTCTGGCCATCGCAGAGGATAATAAACGGTGCCCTATCTGCTGCATCGAGCAGGGTGGATAGGGGTTTGGATGCTACTGCTCAAGCCTTCCCGTCTTCTTATTCCCCCTCTTACGCTTTTTGACTCTTACCGTCCCCTTCCAACTTTACTTATATCCCCCCAGTTTTCAACCCCACGATTCTTGGCCCTCCCCCAACATGCTTTGCTAGGCATTTACCTTCTAATTTCAACTCACACGTGAACGCGGAGCGTCACTCCTCTCCTGTCGACAAGCCCATGTCCAAGCAAGCGGTGCAATCCAGTTCATCGGCTTCCATTTGGAGCCCTCGATCCTCCTTCAGATTGGCATGCCTCAATGTACGCACACTGCTACAAATCGGTCAACAGGCAGCACTTGCCCGAACATTGGAGACCCTCTCGATCGATATTTGCTGCTTATCAGAGACCCGCCTGCAAGACTCGAGCTCTGTGCTCACTCTGCGATCCCCTTCAGGTGACACTAGCAGCACTTTCGCATTGCGCCTATCCGGTGACGATGCAGCTTCGAGCACCGGCCAAGCCGGTGTTGGTATTGCCCTGAGTCCCCGGGCTGAAGCTGCTCTGGTTGATTGGATTCCAATCAGTAGCCGGATGTGTGCGGTCCGATTGGCTGGCTCGTTTAAAGCTTCGAAGTCGCGCGGGACTAATAGATGTCTATTCATCATCGCTGCCTATGCGCCCACAAACTGTAGCGATGATTCGGTAAAGAACGACTTCTACCGCCAACTGACCCAGCTCCTTCGCCACAGAAGAAGCACGGACACTGTTGTGCTGGCGGGGGATATGAACGCACAAGTTGGAAAGTTGTCCACTGATGAACTGCATCTGGGCGGTCAACACGGTGTAGGCTCCCGTAATGATAACGGTGAGCGGTTACTTCAGTTGTGTGAAGATGCTCGCTTATTTCTTGCGAGCACTAGTTTCCGACACAGCACCCGCCGAAGGGTGACTTGGCGCCCACCAACCTCGAACCAGCCTTGCACGCAGATCGATCACATTGCGATAAGTTACCGCTGGAGAGGCTGCATCCAGAATTGTCGCTCGATTTGGAGCACATGCGTGGACACCGATCATGCACTTGTATGTGCTGACATGCGGATGCGTTTTGGCGGACGCCCACGACAACGCTGTGCGCGTATTGACACCAGCCAACTGACAAAACCAGCTGTTCTGAATGCGTATCGAAGTACGCTAACATGCGAGTTGAGCAAGCGCTCACAGGAGACAATTGATGGTCACTGGTCACATGTTCGCCAGACCTTACTAGCAGCAGGAAAATCCTCATGTGGTATGTCTAATAGACAACATGGACATTGGGTCTCTTCGCAGTCTCTGGAACTTTTAGATGCTCGCCGGCAAATCCTGGCTGGAAGCGAGCACAATGAAACTCGCAAAGAGCTCCAGGCGAAACTCCGTGCTAGCCTGAAGAGAGACCGCGAATCTTGGTGGTCTCATCGTGCGTCAGAGATGGAAGTGGCCGCTGCCCTTGGCAACCATCGTAAGTTATTCCGTCTGATTCGGGAAACGGGCAGCAGGAGGCCTGGTGTTAGTGAAACTATACGTGACGAGAGTGGACAGCCTATCCACAATTTGTCAAAACGTCTGGAGCGTTGGGCTGAGCATTTTGAAAAGCAATTTAATCGGCAAGAATTGTTCGATTCGCCGGTCGCTGATCGCCCCGCTCCGTGGGCTGTCCCTTTGGATCCACCCTCTCGAACATGAGATCGGACTGTTGAAGTTGAACAAAGCCGAGGGACCAGATGATCTTCCTCCAGCCCTCTTCAAATTTTGAGGCTCTGCTCTTGTTGATGCTTTGCATGAATTACTAGTGAAACTGTGGGAGCAGGAAACTGTCCCAACCGACTGGAGCCGCTCCGTTATTGTTCCTATCTTCAAAGGCGGCTCGCGCTCGGAATGCGGCAACCATAGAGGAATCAGTCTGATCTCCATCGTCTCCAAATTACTCGCGTCCATAATTCTCCACAGACTGACTGGCGCTCGTGAAAGCCAGATTCGTGAGGAACAAGCCGGATTTCGTCGAGGTCGTGGCTGCATCGACCACATCTTCACCTTGCGTCAGTTGTTGGAGCACCGTCACACATATTGGCGGCCCACCGTAGTCGTGTTCCTCGACATCAAAGGTGCCTTCGATTCGGTTGATCGATGTGCCCTTTGGAATTGTCTACTCAGGAAAGGTGTGCCCGAGAAATATGTAAATATTATCCAAGCATTATATGCGCGTAGCACGGGCAGAGTAAGGGCTTACAGCAGGCTGTCGCCACCCGTCAATATCTCCAGCGGTGTGAGACAAGGATGCCCACTGTCACCTTTCCTCTTCAACTTCGCTATTGACGAAGTCATGGAGATTGCATTTACAGGACATGACTTGGAAGGTGTGGAGCTACTAGCAGGAGAACGACTTCTTGACTTAGAGTATGCAGACGACGTTGCCCTCATCTGTGACAGCTCCCAGACGTGTCAAGCCGCGCTGGACAGATTAGCACTGGCTGTCAGTCGCTTCGGGCTTTGCTTTGCACCACCGAAGTGCAAAGCGTTCCTCCAGGATTGGCAGGGTTCGCCCCCTCTGCTGACCCTTGGTGGGGATCAGCTAGAAGTCGTTCAGAAATTCAATTACCTGGGAAGTTGTATCAGCGCCCTTGGGATCGAGGACGAGATCACGAACAGTATAGCGAAAGCTCGAAGTGCTCTTGCTAACCTTCGCCACCTATGGCGACGGCGAGACATTACTCTCGCGCTGAAGGGTAGACTGTACAATGCAGCGGTACGTTCGACCTTACTGTACGGTTGCGAAACCTGGCCCCTAAGATCGCCGGACATGAAGAGGCTACTTACGTTCGACCATCGGTGACTTCGCAGTTTGGCTCACATCTGGTGGGAACACCGCGTGAGTAACGAGCGTGTTCGACGCCTTGTTTACGGCCTAGGAAAAGGGAATGAACCGCTCAGCACCGTCATTTCACTCACCAGGCTCCGATGGCTGGGCCACGTGTTGCGCATGCCAGCAAACCGACTCCCTCGACGTGCGTTGTTTGCTCACCGGGGATGTGGGTGGAAGAAGAGGAGAGGTGGCCAAGCGATGACTTGGTCCAGAGGAATGAAGGCCCTCACTTCGGAGCTGGCCTCAGTTGGAGCTTCACGGCTCCCTGGTTGGGGTCCAAAAGACGGTGAACACGTTTGGCTGGATACACTTGCTGACATGGCAAGGAGCCGACCTCAGTGGCGTTCGTGTTGTGAGTTTCTTTGTCCCTCCCCATCCCTTTAGCCTCCCCCTCCATCTACGATCTTATCTCGTAGGGTAAAACGTAATTAAATTTTTGTTTTTGCCTAGTAGCCGGCTAGTAGCTTACCGGAACGATGCGTATCCGTTGCTGGTAGCTCAGTTGGCATTCAACTGTCGTATTTATTTTTCCTTTATGTATTGTATGTATGCATGTATTTCCTTTATGTATTGCGGTACAATAGCGGAGGTGTTTTACCATCTCTAGCTGACATGTATAATGATGATGATGATGATGACTTCGATTGGCAGGCTGTGCCACAGGCTACAGCAGAAAAAACTGAAAGCGATCAGACCCCGACTACAGAGTTTGTATGACAAAGCTACAGGATAAACTCCGCGCTTCACACTCATATAGTGGGAGAAACCGTCAGATATTGAACAAGGTGCACCGTAAAAATTGATTTCCGCTAGAGTAAGTGTGCGTGAAAGGGAAGTGGTGCGCTGGCGTCGGAACCTGGTCGGTGAAATAACAGCGTACTTTCTGAGCGTTGAACAAGATGACGAACATGCTCACGTAATGTTCTCAAAGGACATGTGTTAGATTGCGAAGACACAACGCAAATCTGTCGATCGTAGAGCAGCGCTGAATGAAAGCACTGTAGAAATCAGCCAATCAAGACGAAGTGATGCTGCGCTGGCGCCACAAGGGATGAAGCTGGGCAAAGCTCGGGGCACTTTTGCATAACGATTTGTGACCTCATCAGCTATTCCACAGATGCTGATATAAATGCCTAAGTGGTTGAATTTGCTAACGAATTCTAGTTGCGCACACCAAGTGTCAGCGCGTGGGTTCATCCATGTCCATTCTAGAGGAGAGTTTTGCAATTCGAAGATGAAAAGCGCAGTCTGAAAATACTGACAGCCGGTGCTAATCTATCCACCGTTGCTTGACACATTTGTGATAGGTCACAGATTAGGACAATGTTCTCAGCATACTCCAGATCGAGAAATCGATCATACGTAGACGCAACTCTAGATCTAAACCGTGCCCAGTGAATGCAGTTTCCATGACTTCGTCAATAGTGAAGTTAAAAAGAACAGATGAGAGCGGACATCTTTGTATTGCAAAGCGAAGACAGCTTGCTATAAGTCCAAACTCTGTGAGAACTACGAACATAAAGCGTTTTCATTATATTAACGCATTTTCTATGGCAGAGCTGTACGCTAAAGGGCGCGTCTCCAGCTTGCTGATCGTGGAATGTCTTCCTTATGGATTTAACTGCGAATAAGTCGCGTTTACTTTGCGAGCAAAATGAACAAGCAGTCACGGACAACCAGTGGAAGCGTCTTAGAGCGCTGGGCTGATCACCTGGTTTGCCAGTAAACACCACAAGTGCTTGTATAGAACTGCGTTAAGTCAATGACCACTTACTTCTATAACCAGAGGTGAGCACATAAAAGAAGACGGATGAACAACGTTGCTGATCTTCGTATTCAGTCGCTGGTTCCAGGAAGGTATCCTGACCTTTATGGTGATACTGATGGGGCTGGGGCTGTTCGGGTGCTTTGAGTAGTTTGTTATTACTCTCGACGGTTCGTGACATATAATAATCGTCCCGCCGCCTAGTGCGTCATGTTTCCAAGGCTCCGGGTGGGGTCTCCCTTAATCAAACTCTTCTCCTTGGCTTGGGCTACCGGGAAGCTCTCTGTTCACACAACACATAAGTATCTCTTCCCCTGACTGCCTCTTCTCCCCCTGTTTCGTTGTCATCCATATGTTATGGCATTGCCAATTGTTTAGTAGTCAAGTGCACAAGCCACAAGTCGTCTTACGTTCTATATGTGCTACATCGAATTTTGCTTCCGAGTCAGTTGAAAAATGGATTGTCGAGTTACACGGACCAGTACATAAAGAAGTAACCATACACTCTGAGAGACTTATTTGAATTTGTTGTGAAAGTCAAAGACTTGTAGGTAAAGTGATGCTCTCCTATGATGTGAAATTCCATTCCAAAAACGTGCCGTTGCTAGAAATCGTCAACTTTATTTGCGAATACATAACCGTAAAAGAAATAAATGTGGGTATTCCAGTGCCAAAACTGGAGGAAATAATCTCGCGATGAACCTATAACAGGCAGTTTCTGTTTGATGTAATCTATAATCGGAATTGCTACGGATTCGTCGCTTGAACCTATTCTAGCCGAGGTCTTTAACGCTAAATTTGTAGGTGGTCCGACCCAACCTGCTATTGGTCCACTGTATTGCTACTGCAGATATACTAATGACACTTTGGTATCTGTGATTTGAGCGCTGATGACTGGAGTGATCCGAGTTGATCCCCAAGTGAATAGGGATATTAAATGACTGCGGGTGGCAATTCAAACAAGAAGCAGACGTCAAGTTCCGGAGCACTGATCACGGACAAGACGACCTAGTAGCCAGAGTGTCGGCTGGTGACCAAGCGGATTCGACTATGAAACTAGGCTCAACCAACTCACAAGAAGTAGGGTCCGAACCAGGACCAAACAGATAGTATGGTGTAGCGTTGAAAGTAGGCACCATCAAAGATATCACTTAATAGGCATAACGGTAGATGGGTTAATTTCCCGTGTTTGAAACAGAAGCATCCGAGGTTAAATTGAAAAAGTAGAAGAAATAGGCTGGAATCGATCAAATAGAAAGAGGGACTGGAGAATCAACACAGCTAGAAAAGGCGTCAGCAGTGATTCGGTACGCAATACCGATGCTTCACTGCCGCGCAACCACCAGCAGTCGCACGTGGCCTAAGGATACGGTGAGGGTCGCCCGGTCCCTACGCATGCTCGAACCCACGCCCTCGGATTACAAGGCAGGCTTGTGATAATTACGGCCAAACTTGATAACAGAATATGATGTCAAATGGCAGCTGTAGGGACACAGTTACAAGCTGATGGCTGATTTGGACGAACGTACCTCGGCAGCCAAGATGGAGATGATCGCAACGCCCATTCTCTTCATATGCATGTCGTCAAAAGCGATGAGATTCTTAAAAACGAGTTCACAGCATTGATTGCAGTTGAAGGTCTAGAAAAATAGAGACGAAAAAAGGTGTGACTGAATATAGTTGAATGAACGGAACGAGCAATAATGATGATGAAGAAAACACTGCATTCGGGGGAATCGCGAAAAGGAGTGACAGAAACGGGAATTTCGTCGCGACACGGGATACATGAAAGTAAATGCACTTCAAAATAGGTAACCAAGTAGCAGGAGAGAGAAACTAGTACCTGCTTCCGACTCCATTAACAAGCTGTGCAGAAAAGGCGTGACCAGAGCACCAGTAGTGGGGTTTAAGTGTCGTTCGCTACCAACGCCGAATTCCCAGATCGGATTGATCTATATTGGGACTCATCAGATAGAAGATGGCTGGAGGTGAGAGTGGAACCAGGACGTAGACAGTGAGGTCTGACAACTTGGCCGCTAGGTCACTGAGTTTCGCCAGTGCTAATTTAAAACTGCCAAAGGTGGGGTCTTTGAATTGACCGTTGCCGCTCTCTCCCAAAACATCATTTTTTGGACTATCTACTGCATACGTATTAATTTTGTATGAATACTTTGAGGAGTTCTCGGCTGAACAAGTTCAAGGTCATTGGGGCCCCTCAACTCCACTGATTCTTTGAAAAAGTATCCGAGACACCGCGCACAACTCGCAGTTTGCTGCTTCTAATCAAATAAAAAACGTTTTGACAAATGTTGGCCTCGTCAACTGGTCGAAGAATCTTATAATTCGTTCTATCAATATGCGGTCGTTGCTCAGATGCGGGACTGATTACTTAAGTGTGATATCTATGCATTCGTTACCCATTCTGCTTTTAAAATTCTCACATCCACTGATGCTCTTTTATCACATTTGTGGTAAATAGTGTAAAATGCTGAAAATGTACCCATCTGGATGCACAAAGCTTTTTTGACTTGACTTCCGAAGTCACACAACTGCCAGAGGTTGTAAGTTGGCGTGCCTAAACCAAGAGGAAAGAAGCTCGAACCAGAGATACAAGTGACAAAAAAGAGATTTTGATGCCTCTCCAATCCGACCAAATAAAGTAAGACAACAAAACAGTGACTTGAGCGTGGTACTCACGATACCTGCGAAACCGAAAATCGGGTACAGAACAGTGGAACGAACCGGTTGTGCTTAGTGGAAAACAGTTATGGAGCCGTCAGTCAATCGCCGTAATGACAACCGTCGCACAGCTAGCCGAATAGCGCGTCAGGGCAACACGAAGAACGCCAACATGCTTACCGTGACTAACAGAGAGATGACGAGATAATAAAAACGAATTGCATCCTACTGTCTTAGCGCGCTAATGTATGGGGGAGTGTGTACGCATGTGAACACCAATCAACCAAGTCGATTCCCAGACAAATATTTACAAATATGTACAAATATAGATATAATACGAAGGCAGCTCTTCGGAGTAGCCTTTGTAACAGTTAAACTGTGACAAGTTCAGGCGGCGAGGCAGTCCCGACGTTTATGTAGGCGAACAACCGGAAGGAACGGCAGCTAGAAATTGGTGTGATGCGCACGTCAGCATATAGGGTGGAACAGCACATTAAAAACCTTAAAGATGGGTCAAGGTGTGGGCACAATTGCCACAAGTACGTGGATCCAACTAGCCGTCAAACGCAAAGTTCAGCATTCAATGTGGCCTCACTTACTGTGAATAAGATGGTTTTATTAATCCACGGGGGATAAGTGTCGGGTAAGCATCATAAACACCGGCTAGATGTGAGAAACACCTCAGCTATAGTACCGCAAGATTGTGTAAGTATACTCAGCTGTTCCAATTGATCCCCGTAGAAGACGCAATTAGCGCACAGAACAGTCATGCGTGGATGTGGCATAATCACATGGTGAAAGGGAAAAAACTGCATGAGGAATTCGAAGTATCAACAGCGAAATGAAATGAGGCTGGCTGCCCCTAGCAAACTGCTGATGATAGAGAAAGTAACAAAACGCAAGGGATAAAAGTGAAGTACAATCGTGACCTGGAAAAGTTAATAGCTAGATGTAACAGGTTGATTGAGGTGGTGCCCTGGGTCGTAGAGGAATTCGAGTCACTTGGGATCGGCAATAGAGCGGGCCCAAATCATGGAAACAGTATAAATCAGCACGATCAAGTCTTTCAATCGGGCTGCTCGTTAACTGTAACAAGTTATCAATCGCTCAACCCGCTCAGCCAGGCAGAGTGATGTTAGACATGGTGACTCTAGGTAACGAAGTTCGTTAAACGACAAGAAATTGTCCAGTACTTCACTAGAGGGTCTGATGCCAGATACGGACCAGTGGCTGTTCCAATCTCTCACTCGGTCCAATGATCAACAAACGCCAGTAGACATATAGGACCAACAACAATAGATTACTTAGTATAATGGCTGGACATGCAGTTCAAGTACACGTATCTAAAACGCCTTCATTGAGATAAACTGAGTGCCGAATGGGAGAGGTGAACAGCTACAGCGGATGTCCTCACCGTCAAAATCAGTAGATCAATAATATGCACAGGTGTTTTACAACAATGATCCCACTGATGAGAAACGAGATAGGAGGAGGAACCCGATGTAAAACTTAAATATTCGAGGAATTAATGCAATTTATTGTCACGACGGTTTGATGATAAGGATTGATAAGAGAAAGCAACATCAGTGGGACAGATAATTTAGGTTTTGTTGAGGCACATTGCAAGTAATCTCATCACATGCATTAAACAAGTAGTTTGGTATGGAAAGGATGGTAAACGTGTTAATAGTATCGGCAACGCATCAAGTACCCCAAGATTTCGATAAGCAAACACTGTGATTCTTGCAGATAGTGGCTGACCACTTCAAAGTGTGCAAGATAGAGTATGATTTAGTTAGTTTTTGAAAAGCTACCTGGAGAATTAATATACAAAACGAACCATGCCGTAGCACTGGTTGAATGAACTGGAAAAGCAGTCGGTCATTCTCATCACAGCTGGCTTTCAAAATCTATCTGGTTATTGACATGTTGAGTTTCCTCAGACATCGAGTGCCTAAAAATGGACAGCGCAACTGACAACTTCAATCAAGGCTATCGATGCAGAAAGGACGGAAATCCTGACTGGACGATATACAGATCACATAGGTCATTGGTGTGGCGCGAGATTGCACCTGGAATTTACGAACTAGTGATGAACAAAATATGCATCAAGCGGAAGTACATTGGATACAAATCACCAGCAACCAAGAAGTGTCTGAATTTGAAACGTCAGATGACTACGTATCCAATTAGGTAAAAATAAAAAGCAAAAAACGGTACAGCTTTTACATGCTTACCGCCCTGTATAATACGGTGTCGTTGCACAAAGTCAGAAGACAATTTTTCTGCAACTGGCGGTTCATGTGATATTTCTCCATTGCGGTCAATGTCATACGGACAACTCTGTTCAGAAGTTCCAGCGGCAACTGACGACTCTGTTCACTTCGCGTGAGGTTGTAGATGACAGCCGTACCGGCCAAAATCATCTCCATACGACGCATATGTAAACGCATGACTCGTAGCACAGCCTGACAAATACGAAGTCAAAATTGGAAACGCGTAAAGGCTTGAAATGCCGGGTGGGACAGACGCACGGGACGCTAGGTATGTTTCATTTAGCAGTTACATAAATGCGATGAAAACGCACAGATACTGATTGAGCCACAATTGCTTTGAAATGCAGCGGAAAGGACAAACAATAAATTAGCAAAAATGAATGTACCAGTTAAAAATAAGCGGAGAAAAAGTGACTGGAAAGCAACAATCTTCTGAGGGCCAAATCAACTAGCTATAGGAAGGCATCACGGTGAATAAAGAGCATGCTTTTATCGCGAACCCAAATGGTGGCAGTAAAGGGACATTAGTATAGCCGAGACTAATAGAAAGATAGAAGAAAACAATGAGACGATGTGCAAACACAATCCGGCCACGGAAGCGCTTGTAGACACATCGCAATGATTGTAAAAAGGGGAGAAAAGTGAAGGATTTGAAAAGAAAGGAAAAGCTCGATAACCAAACTCAACAGATGAAATTCAAAGGCTTTAGTGTGTCTGTAATTGCGCCGTCGCAGATAAGATCCTCATACACGGATGTGCCTACTCTGAGATTCACATGGAAAAAGACAAGTACAAATCCCTTGGTCTCCCAGTCAACTACTTCTTGTTAGCTCGCTAGAACAGCGTTTGACTATACTGTAAAATTACCTCGTGGGTTCGAAAACTTCAAGTCTGTCGAGCGCAGAGGATCAAAAGGATGCAAGGTTGGATACTAGTAAAACGGTGAAAAAGCGATGTTTACAAACTGTGTGTCTAGCAAGCTTCGAGAGTAATATTTACCTCACAGAGAACAAAAGCTGCAACGGGATCTAAGAAATGTCGTTCCGATCAATCAATGAGAGTAGCTAACGTGTCAGGCGCTCGGGATTTTGTTGGCAAGTGGTCGGCATTTGTTTCTCCAAACACTACTCTCTTTATAAGCCTGGGTTTGCCGGAACTCGGCCTAAAATTGTTTGAAACAATGAAACAGAAACACAACTGCAGTGCATTCATCTCCAAGATCGATATTAAGTAATCAGGAACAGAATAGTGTCATCAATTTCAGAGATCTTTCAAGAAAGTTGGAGACATTTGAGAGTAAGTTACCAAGAGTAGTTAGGTTCTTTTTTGCAACTACATGGGCGCAAACAACGGGAAATGGTTGTGTTGCACACATTTTTCCCTATGACAGAAGCCTTCACAATAAATACGTTTGCACTCTTTTAGTCTTGAAATGAGCTGCTAATCGGAATTTGTGATTTACGACTTATACGTCCTGTCTGGCACTACTCGATAAATCTGACAGCGCTGTTTGTATTCTTCGGGACTTACATTGTTGAAAGCTGTTCATAACTACTCAGTAATGATGATTCTCCCTGGGAATGCACATGAGGATATTGCGAATCGGGAATGATCCCGTAAAGAAGTAACAGCGGAAAATTCTACCGAATCGATCCTCCACCAGAGGAGTTAACTATGGGTAATGTTAAAGAGTGCATAACTCGTTTTGATTGTGCTTCAAGCCAGAGACGAAGAAGTTAGCGAATTCCTCCCATCTATGTATCACACTGGACTTGGTGAATCATAAGGAGACAGGCTAAGGTTTCTTTTTAATCAATCATCAACAGCAGTACATCCACCACTTGGACTGATGCTCCGATACCGTACAACCACTGTAAAGTACGGAACGAAGAACAAGGGGAAGAGAAGACCAACCTGGCACAAAACCTTAATGCCCCAAAGAAAAATTCAGTGTCAAGGCGCTTAAACCTTGTGTCACCAATATACCATCACAAACAACTGGATAAGATGAAAAGGCGGCATCGGCAAGACAGCATCCTTGCAACTTTCACTGGTCCGAGTCATGATCAGTCATTATCGCGCATATAATTCAGCACCAGACACGCTTTAAATAGGCAGATCGACTAGGAGACGACAGCAGAGACATTACTGGTGTCGAGCATTACGCCACCCTACATTTAGAAAACAAAACAATAGTTTCCTCGGTAAGCGGTGACTAGACATACGTAGTACGTGCCCAAGCCAACGCAACTTTTTCAGTGCTATTTGTCGTTCTAAAGAACTAGCATGATTATCACTGCTTAATACTCGCCTACACCCATCATCGTTGTAGACATGCTGGTGCCATTCGACATCAGCAATGCTTCACAGACAACGATGATAATTCCTGGGTTCAACTGTTCGCTGAGCTTCGCAATCGGTATGCAAACGTTTCATCACTCCGCGAGGTGACTTCCTCAGTGCGCTGCTGGGCCAAAAGTAATCCGTTGACTTGGTCGTCGATCTGTGACTGATTAGCAAGTGACTTTTGAATTGACCTTCTCAATCTGTGCCCCGTGACTACGCGTCTACCCAGCTTCTCTGGTAGATATGAGCGTCCCGTAGGATGGTTTTGTCCCGGCTGTTGCGGCTGTATTATTAACGGCTCGTTTAGCTGCTCTCGACGGTTTTTAAGTTGTTTTAATTCTCTCCGTCTTAGCGTTTCGTAAACCGGGTCAATCTCGACGTGCATGTTTATCGAGTGCTTCGTCGAGTACCATGCTTCGAGGAACTCTCTCTCTTTTCGTGTCTCACCTTGTGCTACGATCTCTGCGTTGTTCCAATCGAAGTGATGTCCTGCTTCGTCTGTGTGTATTGAAACCAGTGAGACAGCGTAATGGTTCTTACAAGCTCTCTTATGCTCTTGTATTCTTGTAGACATATCTTCCTGTCTGACCCACATAGTTCTTATCGCGATCTTGACACCGTATCTTGTACACAACATTTCATCTTTCGTACGCTTTAGGTTTCGACAGGGTTCTTCTCAATGTGGCGGTTGGTTTGTGAGCCCCTGTAAGACCGTGCTGTTTGAATAACCTTACTGTCATCTCGGAGATGTTCTTTACATAAGGTAGAACGATTCGCTTTGTTGTCGTTTGAGTAGGCTGAGAGGTCGTAGCTTTGTTGTTTAGACATCGCCAGACAAAGCTAGGTGGATATGCACTTAGGTGAAATAATCTGAACAGGTACAGCTCTTCTTTCCGCTTCGCCTCAAGAGTGCTGCAATGTGTTTCAATTCTACGAAAGAGAGTCCGCACGCAGCTTATTTTGTGACATTTCGGATGATTGCTGTAGTAGTTTAAAATCTGGTGGGTGTGTGTTCCTTTCCTGTAAACCGATGTTTGCAACTCTCCTTCAATCGTCCTGGTGAGTAACACATCCAAAAATGGGAGTTGGTCTTCTAACCCCGATTCCATTGTAAAATGGATGTTTTCGATGGTGTTAATGAGCAACTCGTATGCAGCCGCTACTTGACTATGTTTCAGTATCACGAATGTATCATCGACGTATCGGATCCGCAATTATGGGTTGATTATGGGCAGTACAGTTGAACCCAGGAACGATCAACCCGGGCTACCAGTACACCAAGTCATTTTAAACAACGATAATAAATATTTTAAGGCGTTGCAGTTCCTCAGCTCGGAGGGGCCAAGTCTCACTTCCATAGTGTATGACGGCCCTCAGGATGGCCTTGTATACACGGCCTTTTAGACGGAGGGAAACCCCTTTCTGACGCAAAAGATTTCGCAGATACAAGAAAGCAGTTCTAGCTTTTGCAACAAGTGAATTGATTGTGCGTTATCGATGTAGTTGTCAAGGTAGATGAAGTGGTAAAGTATCTCGAATTCCTCGTAATCAAGTGGCTGGTGGTCCTGTAACAACACTGCACTTTGAAGGTGCTAAGCGCATGCCAAATGAAGTGACCATACTAGTGAGGCTATTTAGGGTTCGGCTGGCTTGCCGAACAACCTCCTCGTGGTGCCAGCTGGGTGGTTCGGGTACTTCCCGCTCCAGCCAATGGTTCGGCGGCAGTGTTCCAGGACGTGGTGGGTTTTCGCCTGGCAAGCGTTCTCACTATAAAAAGCCACAAATGTCCGTTTAACAACACTGCGACGTGGCGGGTGTGACTTGCCACTAAATAAAGTCGCTGCCCTTTGCCCCTCCCTGAAAGGCATTGTACTTTAAAGGTGCGTTGGGCCCCTGGTCCTTCACGGACCGAAAGGCGTATGAACCATCTATTTGGTCACCGGCTCCCAACGGGTTGCAACGCCCTCACATCGCCCTGCTGCCTTGTAGGTTAGATCTTTGATCAAAGGCTCGGGGTAGGGCCCCCTAAGACAACCTTCTACTTCGGCCTGGGCAACCGGGTAGTATCACGCCCACTGACGAATCATTGACCACGCCGCTTACTACTGCTATGCCTATCTTCTGGGCTAACTCACCCGCTCAACTTCCACTCACAGACCACCCCACCTCCAGTCCTTCATCCACATGTACTCTTAAGTCTACTACGGTCACCGTCACAAACGACCCGCGTCTCGCAGCTATTGGAAGTAACAGCCAAACTCCCGGTTATCAATGTCCTCCGATCACAACGGCCTCTCACTCCACCGAAGCTCCAGCTCTTATTCAACCTGGTTCTTCACTCATCCTCGCAGCGTTTAGTGTTCGAACTTGGATGCAGATCGGACGACAAGCATGTCTGGCTCGTATTCTTTAAACGCTTTCGGTAGACATCTGTTGCCTTTCAGAGACCAGATTACAAGACTCTAGTGCCGTCATCAGAATAGCCTCTCCGGTAAAGCCCTGACGCCAAATACTACTTGCGGCTTTCCGGAGACCCAGAAGCTGCCGCCACTGGTCAAGCTGGTGTTGGGGTTGTACTGAGTGCCAGTCAACAGCTCACCATGTGCAGTCAGACTAAGAGGTTCATGTAACGTAAGCAGGCGTCGAGACGTTAAGCGTGCCTAGTTTGTCGTCTCTGCCTACGCCCCTACAGACTACAACCCGGATGCAGTTAAAGATACCTTTTATCAACAACCTCACGAACTTCTGCGTTCCTACAAACGGACTGATATAGTCATTCTTGCCGGGGACTTTAACGCACGAGTTGGCCGACTTCCACAACGCGAGCACCACCTTGGGGGTAGTTT